TGAAATCAATTATTGCATTAATGGGGTTGTTCCGAAAACACAGAATTAGCATCTGTAAATAAGACTAGATATAAAAAGTTACTGCATGTTCATTCAGTCAATGAAATGGCTTTCCTGGGTCAGCTGTGAGGATGGACACATGTTGTTTCACTAGTCTCGCAGCGAGCACTGCTGTGATGATGGGTTTAATGAAGCAGTTAACAGTCAGAATATGATCCCAGTGTGTCTGCTGAACATCAGCATCCTGCAGTGTCAACACGGCTCGGTTTTGGGGTTTTTCTATTTTTTATTTCCTTTTCTCTTTTAATCGACTCGCACACACACACTAGCCTTGCCCTTGACTGTGGCGTGGCTCAGTGATATTAATGTTTATGTTAATTAGATCACACCAACAAATGATTACATTTCCAGACAGGGTTATTGTAAGACTGTAGCCACTAGCTTATTTTGCCCACTGAATGCAATTTAGAACAGATGTAATTGTATGAATGCATTGTAATTGCATGAGGAAACAACAATACCATTATGAATATACACAATATTCTCTGTGAACCTGATGTGTGTTTACAATATGAGTTAGAGGAAGAGCGATTGTGCCGCCTGCTCTTTTCATTTGCACCCATCAGGTTACTCTCCTTTTTTTGTAGGAGTTTCTGTCCTACATGGAGTCTCATCGACAGAGAGGCCACAGCATGTTTGAGAATCTGAGGACAAACCACTTACAGGTCTGACAGAACTGTGTTCATGAATAAACAAAAATAACTGTAATAAAATAGCCCAAATTGGATCTGTACTCATTCACCTCTGTGTTATCTACTCCCTCTATCCGGGCCTGTTTCCGTGTCCCAGTTAAGAGCCAGTGAGTATGAGCGAGTGAGCTCCAAGTGGCTGCTTGTGGAGGCCGAGCTGATGAGGGAGAGGGCTGTGTTCGGCCCCGGCCCAGGGGTGCTGCTGAGCCAGGACTGGGTGCAGGATGCTGCTGAAGGACCCAACAGGACCAGATCACGCATCCGCAGAAAGGCTCGGAGACAATCCAAACGGGTATGGCCTTTCAGTGTGCAGCAGGATAGTGTGTGATGGTCCTTATTAGGGATCCACTGACTAAAACTCCGGGACGGTACCCATGTTGAAAATAACAATACCAATGTTTTTGTTATTATATATTCCCCGTTTTGTTCCAGGTAAAATGCATCTTAATTGTTCAAATGAGGACAAACGTATTCATACAAAATGTATAAAACAAAAACATTTTTTTTCTTTTTTAAATGAACAATGAATTCTTATGTTTTACATAATTTATATGTTATTAAATGTAAATGTAGGATTAGTAACATCGACCAGGCTATCCTTCACCTATGTTTTTCATGCAGATTTATAGACAGCAGTAGCAGTCAATCTACTGTTGTCCTAGTAGAGTTAAACAAGGCAAATACTTGGACGATTAGTTGGTGCATCCCTATTTATTATTAGTGTTAAACCTTTAACTTTGCTATATACTATTAAAACAGGTGCTAGGAACGCTGTGTATGGGTTTAAGGACCGGCATGTCTGAAGAGGACAATAAGAGATCAGAAGGTGACACAGGTAAATACATAATCCCTGGTTTACATTTTATTTATTTTTCAACCATAAAAGGTTGTGTTGAATGTGAGCTCAGTGGATACATTTGTTTCCTTTTCGACAGAGCCTAAGATCCTGTGTGAAGTTGGAGCCGAGGTTAAAGAGGATGAAGAGGAGGGTGGACAGGATTGTGATCATCTGACCTTCTTCCCCGCTCTCAATGAGACCACTGCTGTTACTGAAAGAACCGCCGACCCCCTCACCCCTGAGTCCTGCTCCCACATGCAAGACTGCCATGACATACGCATCATCCTGCAGAACGTGCAGCCCGGAGAGGAGGTACTGTAACACAGGAGGGTGTGTTGGTACGCTGGGTTAAATACAGCATGCCTCCTTTTCACCCTGCTAATATTCATAATCATAATTATCTGATGTAGACTAAGGGATTCCAATAGCCCAGCGCTGCTATCACAATTTCATCTTTCCTCATTAGTGTAACGTTTTAATGTGGCGGCTCAGCCCAGCTCTGCTCATTCTTCCACTGAGTTAGAAACCACAGCACATGTTGACAGGGACTCTCATCACTCCGGCAACCAGCCGCGGCTTTTAATGTTTCTGACAGAAGTATTAATAAAAACAGTAGGAGGTGATGCAGCTTGTCTTGCATCCGCTTAGTAAGTGTGTGATGTGTGCAAGTGTGTCCTGTTGTCTTGCAGTGGTTCAGTGTGTGAGTCCTGCTGAGCTTCCTGTCAAATGAACACAGTCATTAGCTCTGAAAAATACACACACACGCACACGCACGCACACACACACACACACACACACACACACACACACACACACACACACACACACACACACACACACACACACACACACACACACACACACACTTTGTAACACACAAAGGGAGACCCACTCATAATTAGCTTGCCAGCGCCAATAGTGTGATTATGACAGTAATGTGTGTGGGGAGAAATCAATGGTCTGACATTAGGCTCGCAGTCTATAAAAGTCCTCCTTTTTTCTCCTTCTTCCCATCATCAGCTAAATCACCAACAGACTGATAACGCTGTCCAGTGCACAGTAAAACGATAAGGAAACAAGTTTATTGTTATGTATTTAATCTTTGATAACAATAAATTAAACTGTCTTTTTCTAAAATCTAGTTATTGTTAGGGACTGATGCCAGTGTGTATTCACTGAATGAATACTGCTTTACAATTTGACCATGATATAGCTCAATGTAAAATGCCTTTGCCATTTAGAGGGACTTGCTCGCCTTGTCTCTTCTTAAACGCCTTGTGTGTCAAGTGATATTATCCATCATAGCATGACTCGATGTGTGCATTCAGACAAGAGGTTCTGATCACTTAGCAGGTTTCCTATTGTGTGTTTGGCAGTGATTAATTCTCCTAATAATGACGAGGCAGGGCCTCGTCCACACCAGTGTGTGACTTTGTGTCTGGATGTAGGCGGTCTGATTTGATTAGTATAAATTGTGAGGGGCCTGCGGGTGTGTTGGGGCCCCATATGGTTTTTGGGCGCTGTGTCCCAGAGGGCCTGCAGAGGGGCCGACACAGGGAGACAGCCAGGTGCACACACTCACTGTGAAATGAGGGGAGACAATAGAATTAGCCGCACATTATCACAATGCAGTTAGCATTAGCTACAACCAGCGCTGAAAGCAGCATGTGGGTCCACTTTGGCGCTGGATGAAACGCACAGTCACACTGCTCCCCATCAATCAGCTCTGATAATGAAGTGTTCAACTGTGTCTTTTTAATAATGATTAGAATATGTGATTAAAATGATCAATCAAGTAAAGCCTGGAGTGCCTGCGCTGCTGCCATGTCATGTCCCGGGAGAGAAGTGTGCTGATGTGTATTGTGCCTCTCACACAGGGCTTAATGCATCTCCCTGTGTCTCCTCCCTGTCTCTCTGTAGGTAAAGGCTAAGATGTGTGTAGTGACGGTGAGCGGCCTCAGAGTGACGGAAGGGGTGCTGCTGTTCGGGAATGAGAGCCTGCTCTTGTGTGAGGGATTCACGCTCAGTCCTCCTGGAGATGTCTGCTGCAGGAAACACCACCCCAGCAGGTACAGCTGTGTACAGTACCTAATCATTACCTGATCATACATTTGCTTTTTACTTGCCTCAATTATTGTTTATGTCCTTATGAAATAATCAACACATGAGTATCATCAACCTTTTTTCCATGGCTAAGATTTGATCAGATGTCAACCTCATAATTTATCCAAAACTATGATGATATCAATATTCAAAATCATTTAAGAAAAAAAGGCCAAAAAGTGATTTTAAAAAGTAACTTCTCAAAAGTCTCTCTCTGTGTCTCCCTCTGTGTCTCCGTCTCTCAAAATAAATTATTGCTTTTGCCTTGACTAAATGTACTGAATTATAATTTGGTGACTAAAAATACAAAAATATATACAGTTAAATTGTCTTAAACTAGATTAAAATATATAATAATATATATATAATATAATATTAATTAATTAATATCCTCAGACATTCAGTCAACTTAAACTTGAATAAATAATTAAGTTATAAAACGTATAAGTACATTTGAGACAGGACAAAGACTACATTAAAAAGAGCTAACAAAAGGAACACTAGTTACTCACTAACACTCAATTGGTCGTCTCATTTTCTTTGTGTCCCTTTCTTTCCTTGCCAGTGTGAGGGATTCCTATATTTCCACCATGCTGAGTAAAGAGCAGCCTCCAGCCCGCTGCAGATGCTGGCTCTATGAGGACATCAAGGATGCTCGCTTCATGCGTTTCCTTTTAGAGGTAGAGGATATCCTAATTTCTCATACAGATGCTTTACATTGACATGCATCTCATATTCAGATGGTTTCTAGACAGGTTTTAGTTGAAATTCACATCAGATTTCTTGTGATTTTAATTGAAGTTGTTACCTTTCAGAGAGTCTGATAAGGTTCATGTTAAGTGCAGGTTTAAAAGGGATCTTATAGATACTAAATATCTACTTAACATAAAAAGTAAGGAAATGTGTGTGTGGTAGATTATTTATATGTTGTAACAATGCTTCTTGGCAAATGTCCATACTTTTTGTATTAAGTTTAGATATAAATGTCGCTGTGTCTCTTTGTTACTTTCAGGACAATGCTATCGAGGTCTTCATGAAAAATGGACTGTCTGCCTTTTTGGTGTTCCTGAATAAAGACCATGTCTCTGCGTATAAAAGGTACCACATTCATATAGACTGGAGGCTAACAAATGCTTTTTTTCAGCATTTTGAAGACTGATGCTCAATCGCTGCTCTCTGTCTCCCTGCAGGTTGTGCACAGTAGCGTCCGCATTAAAAGGCAGAGGGGTTGCTGAGGTCATTGCTAATGCCAAGTAAGTGTCCACAGTTTTCATATAGCAATAATTCAAGTCAGTAACATGTTGCTCTTTTTATTTCAGGAATGAAGTTAATACATCAAAAAATAGTAGTATAGTATGCACAACTATGCAGATAATATGCACAACTATTCACGTTTTTAAAGCTGCCTGAATGTGAGGTTCATTTCATTTAAGAGGAAGTTCAATGATGCTGTTTTGTCATTTGATTTGCATATGTTCCACTTTTCTTATCCTCCACACATCCTGATGGACTGTAGCCACTGAGTTTGGCACAAGCAGTCCTTTATAAGTCCTTGTCCTTTTTTCCTCATATGCATCACCCCCTCCTCCTCTCATAAGCCCTTCTTCCTGGTCTTTACATCTCTTAAAGCATGTCCTACACAGGCTGCTCTCATGAACTAGATACACATGTTCCTCTGGTTCTGAGTTTTCCTTCTGCATCTCCTCACCATCCCCCTGAACATACGATAGTGGAGTGCGTTTCATGTTCAGCTTTGTGAGGTTGCGTAGCCCTCTCACAAACTCTGGTAGATGAATGAAAAGATTATCAAACAGACCTATCTCTTGCAGACTATCTAGAGCCTCCATGCTGGGAGGGAGGGTGTCCAGCTGGTTCATCCCCAGGTTGAGTATTTTCAGGCTGGTGAGACATCCCAGAGAGGAGGGGAGACCTGCAGAGATCAGGCGGTTGTTCGAGAGGTTGAGGTGTGTCAGTCCCGCCAGGTTGCCGATGGACTTGGGCAAAGCCTCCAGCTTGTTGCTGTGCAGATCCAGAAATCTTAGAGATGAGCAACTCCCAATGTTATCTGGTAGTTTCTGTATCGAGTTGCGGCTGAGGTCCAATTCGTCCAAGTTGGTCAGTTTAAAGAGACACTTTGGGAAGATGGTTATACCCATGTTGCTTAGGGTAAGTCTGTGCCGTCCATCCGGGGTCATCTGTATTGCCTTTTTGGCAATTTTGAGGGTCAGCTTTGTCCCTTTGGCTCCCTTCTTTTTGGGCATGGTACTGCAACACACATAGGATTACAATTTAGAATTCAAGCTCAGCCTCAATTTTGCCCCCCAAGAGGCGGATTTCCAATAAGTCATCTAATCTACAACAGTACTATAGCAAATAAATGCGATGTGTGTATGTTTACGCGTATGTATGTGTGTGTGTAAGGCTGATGTGATTTATTCAGGTACAAGGGCTTATGTATGGCCTGGGGCAGTAGGGAAAGCATGCTCTCTGAGGTATGAGAGCTTGAGCTGTGAGTGAGTGCGTGTGGCTGTGAGTGTGTGTGTTGCTGAGTGTGTGTATGTGTGCGAGTGTGCGTGTGAGTGTGTGCAGTGTTATGTCTACACTAGTGTGTGTGCTCAGCCTGTGTTGCCCATGGGGGTATTTAAGAGCACGACTCTCTAATTAAGGCTAATGCAGGGGAACAATAGAGGAGAGGCGACACTGGGTAATACAGCAAAAACAAATGAGGGCTGATGTTTCCTCACCATTCAACTGATTGAGCTGCTCTTTTGAGGCAAAGAAGGTGTGTGTGTGTGTGTGTGTTGGGGTTGGGGGGGCATTCACATGCAAGTGTTTTGACAGACATGCTGTACTGTATATACACTATAGTATATACACGTGCACAAAGAGTGAAATCAGGGCTTTGATAAATGATAGTTGGAGAGTGTTGAGAGTGTGATGAGGCCCCGCTCTTCTCCCCTCCCTGTCTCAAAGAGCAAGGTGTGTGTCTGTTTGTGTCTGTGTTACACCCCAAGGCCCTCTCTCGCCTCATTCATCATCCTCAGGATGAGAGGGGTTATCCACTGGTGCTTGTTCCCATTATAACCTCCTATAGAAAACTATTGCATGAAATTATTGCTTGCAATTAGATAACACATACTGGGCCAAATACAGTGATTGATTTAGTGTAGTTTTACAAAATAATTTGGTCAGGAGATATTGGACGAGGAGAGGGATTATTGGATGCAATTAAAGGAGCTACATACTCTTTAAAACACATTTACTGTTTGCAACCTAATTTTATTTTCAGTTGTTATGTCACTGTTCTTTTCAAAAAAAGAAATTTTCAACATAAATTAAGATATGTACTCACCATATTTTATCTTCTTTTTTTCTTTAATCAATGTGATTCAAGTTGTCTTCAGTTTTAAAAACACGCCAACCGCTTTAGCTTCTGCAAACCAGACATTCAGCTCAAAGCCCCTCACCCTGACAACAAAAATCACAATGTTAAAACACAGCAACAAAACATTAAACACATTTAAACTCTGATTTGTTAGCATTTGTTAGTTATATTAATAATACCTGGTAGTCCTTGCCTATGTTGTTCCGATGTCAAGAGTAGAGATCAGGAATGCACAGTCTGTGTTTATCACCCTTTCCCTCGCACTCCTACACCAAACACAGAAAGTCAAGGTTCCTCTTGTTTAACAGCGTTACTTAGCAACTGGGGTGCTTGGCGCCAGGACTTTATTGCCGTGTTACTGGCCACAGAGGGAAAAGAGATATCAGGAGCACTTCAAAGCTTCTTTAATTTAGATAGTTTAGCGTGGTGTTATATTACTTAAATTCATGATAACATTTCCTGCAACTTTGTCATTTTGTTTACATTTATTTTTAGCTAAAAACACAACAATAATGTATTTTAATCAAGCTGTTTTTGTGATTAGTAGTTTGAAGTAAGTGCCTCCATTTAAGTGAATGCCCATAAAAGGATCACCTTACAACATTATTTGAACAAGCACCTAAAACTAACTAAATGAAAAAACAGCTGTAGACGAACATCTTGTTTGTCTTAGCTTAGCCAAGCAGGAAGCCTTGATGTTTTTTCTTGGAAATCAGTGCATCGTTCTGTGACAGAAATGTAAAATAAATATGTTGTTCCTTGTCTAACCAGTAATCATTAACCCCCTGCATGTCACTTAAAAACTCACCGCAGAAGAAAAAAAATGTCTTCCTGTTTTTAAATAGCTCAATCTGCTGATGGAAGCTAGTCAGACCTGCTACAGTGTAACTAAAAGTAACTCCCTCACAACCTACGGATGTCAACTTTTGCCACATCCTCAACATCTTTACTTACTATGTATGCTACCAAGTGTAGCTCACCTCCGTCCCATAACTAATCCTACAGCTGGGTACACACGGTCTCAGTTTCACTCACTCACCTCCACTCTGCTGCCTCAGAACTCTGCTGTGTTTCATTTCAACATGGGTTGCTAGGCAACAGAGCATGCAGAAGAACTTTGTGTTTAGCCTCTGATGCTAATTCAATGTTTTTCTTTTGTTACTGTGCTTTAGGAAAACTCCTGTGGTGGAAAAGGCTGCCCTTGTAAATTGGCAGGTAATATGATAAACAGTAGCTTGTGCTCACAGATTTTGACCTCAGTAGAGGCTGACAAAATGCTGAACAGATATGATATCATTAGTAGCCCAGGCCACTTTTGTTTAAAACTACTTAGCATTTCTACTGTTTTTTGTCTTCCAGAAAGGGGAAATAAGTAACTTTGAGTACTTGATGCATCTGAACACCATTGCTGGGAGGACATACAATGACCTGATGCAGTACCCTGTCTTCCCCTGGGTCCTGGCTGACTACCAGTCAGAGGTTAGATCACACACAGTGACATCTTAAACATTAATATTGTAAAGTGATGGAGTGATGAAAGTCCTACCTACTGGTTTGATTTATCTCTGTCCTCGATAGACAATCGATCTGTCAAATCCTGCAACTTTCCGTGACCTGTCTAAGCCAATGGGAGCGCAGACGGAGAAAAGGAAACAGATGTTCATCCAACGATATGAAGAAGTTGAGACCACTGAGGGGGAAGGTACCTATTTAGCTCTTTGCTCGTCATTCATTATTTTACGCTAAGTGCTCTTTTTATTCAACGCCTATTTACTCAATAGGAAATCTGTCAGCACGATGCCACTACTGCACCCACTACTCCTCAGCCATCAGCGTAGCCTCCTTTCTTGTCAGGATGGAGCCATTTTCACACACCTTCCTGACACTGCAGGTGAGACCTTGGAAAGTCATTGTTGGTCTTTTTATGCCCTAAAAGTGAATAAGCCAGTATTGGATTAACACAATGGGGAGGTTTGTGGAAGAAACAGGCACTAATTGTTTGCTTACTGACCATTCCTTGGGGGAAAAAAACAAAACAGTTGAGATTCACATAGAAGAGAAAATTAACTATTTGTTTCTATGGGAACCTACAGTACTCTATAGTGCCATGACATCAATTACATCCATTACTTAAAGGTGACCTATCATGCAAAATGCACTTTTGTACGTCTTTTATACATGAATATGTGTCCCCGGTGTTCCAGGGAACTCACCAAGTGTCAGAAAACACAACCCTCTCTCTTTTCCTCCATACCCAAATCTCTTAAAAAGGGGCTGCAACGGATCTGATACAGACTGATTCAGATTTGAACCCTTCTGTGACATCACAGAAGTGGCGCTACGGCTATTGGGCCAACTCCACCAATCAGGAGGAGACAGCCACGGACATTGCCGTTCGAAAGCGCTGGAGACGCTGTAGTACATATGCCAGGCCTGTAGATGGTGCTGTTCTCACAGAATCAGCCCATGCAAAGACAGTGTTAAATTGAGCGAAATAAGGAATGGCTAAAATGCATGATCTGTTTGGCATTTTCGAAAAATAAAAAGTATAAATATGCCTTATATAGGTATGGTCCTACACTATAGTATTCAAATATAGCATGATAGGTCCACTTTAAGTATAGCACTGAACAGTTATCTAATGTGACTTGTATTTTTGGCTTTTTGTAAATGCAAAGCTCTTCAACTGTAATGCATGTATTAATGTGTGTGAGTCAATTTGATATTGATTTGAATCCCTGCTGATCACTGCAGGTGCAGTCTTAACTTTTCCTGGAGTAATGGCAGAAGTTCAGTATATCCTGCATCACTCAGTTCCAACTAAAAGGCCAAGATTTAAATTGACATTCTTCACTTTGTAATTTTTTTAACTTTCAAACATATTCTTGCTAATAATCTCACCCTAACGTAAGCTATTTTCAGAACTCTAGATCCTGTTTCAATGCTGTTTTTGGAATGATTATAAGAAGATTTTAATATATATGCAAATAATTACAGAAAGCATTTAAAAGAGGCCAATGCAAATAGCCAAGATGTTATCAATTTACAATACAGCATCCAATTGATTATAATGAAAAGGCATGCATATTTGATAGTCAGAATAAAGCAATAAAGATGTTAGTCTGGTGCCTTTTTGTCTTCTGAATCACATAACGGCCGTATAGTAATATCCATAACTGGATTTACATCTCTAACCACGTTTACCAGCATATATGCTATTTTCATTCATTGAGGTAATTGTTTTACTCTAAATTACATTCTCTCTCATGAGGACGGAATTTTACGGAAAGATGAAAAGCTTCCTTCAAATAATAGCAAATATTTCCTGCTTAAATAATGCAATAAAGAATATAAAACATGATTCACCACACTGAATCAAGCAGACTACTTTATTAATAATGCCTAAAGTTTGGTTCTACAGTGTGCCGGGGGTCTGACAGTGTTGTGCCTCCTCTCCCCACAGGGAGGGTTTGATATCCCCGATCGGATGTTTTACAGCATAAAGAAGGAGTGGGAGTCGGCCTCCAGAGACAACACGGGGGACGTCAGAGAGCTGATCCCAGAGTTCTTCTACCTGTCTGACTTCCTGCTCAACTCCAACCACATCCAGCTGGGTCAGTACCACAACCCATCCTCTGTGAATCTAGATGACTGACTGAAAACTTGCTGAAAGGATTATCGTTATTCATTTTTATTCTCATTGTCAACATGTGCTATAAAAAGCCCAAAACCTGCTCTCAGTACTTTCATGACTTTCCAACCCTGTTTGGGGCTTTCAGTCCCAAGCCCTCTCCCCTACTAGAAGATGCAAATCTTGAAAATCACGATGTTTAAAAGAGGGGAAAAATCCCTTGGAACATTTTGGTCCATTGATGTGTTTTAAATACATTTTGGACAACAATAATGGTGTAGGGCAGAAAGGAATACGCTAATTGGTCTTTACCAATACCTGCTTATTTTTTGTTATGGTCTTTTAATGGACGTGGATGGCAACAAAAAAAACTGTTTACATATACTCTTTTTTTAAATCATCAAAACGCAGTGTATCCATCATAAAAGCCTTACACACACATCTAAAATGCATTTCCCACCTCATAAATCATTTCGAAAGACAATTTGAATAGAAAAAACAAACATAGTAACTGCATTGTTAACGTTGAATATTAGGGATGCGGATTGCATTACCCACAGGCTAATGCATGTACATGCGTCCTTTTCCATATGCCGGTTGAGCGCACAAAGCAAAATGAGGAACCAATTTGCACATTGCTCCACAGTGCCACCAGGAGTAAGAAAAAGTACAAAATATATCTTTAAACTGCTCTAAAAGGATGAAACACTGCGATGTGATGTGACCCTGCATGTTATATCCATATCTGTAAAGGCTGCATGGAGGATGGAACCGCTCTGGGAGATGTGGAGCTGCCTCTATGGGCGAAAGGTGACCCCCAGGAGTTCATTAGGATCCACCGAGAGGTCAGTGACCCCCAACCTCACAGAATTGTCTGTTACAATTGTCCCATCTGGTCTATTACACACAGGAGCGTTTCCCATGAGACCTAATAACGTTTGTCAATATTATCTGATGAATGTGCACACAAAAGGTTTTATATCTAAAACAAGTATCTACTGTTATACTTGAACTGTCATTGTGTAGTAGCCTGTTTGTCCTCAGTCTTTTTACCACAGTGTAAGAGACGGATCTTATTTACAACAGCCACTGTCTCATTCATTATATTCTTTAAATGCCATCTTGTCTCATTGAGCTTGGTACAGTTAAACTCTTGTAGTACTGACTGTTTTAAAGTATAATGACCAATTGTTGTTTTATTCAGAACATCTATGGAAAGGCATGTATCTATATGTAAGATAACAGACGGTGAAGGACAACAAGCCTATTTAACAATATTCATGGCAGGCACAATACTTATTTTTTCATTGCCATTATTTCTGTAGATATTAAGGTCTCTCTGTTGGTCTGATTTCTTCAGTCTGACCCTCCTTTTTCCATTCCTGGGGCATATATGATAGTTATCACTCTGTAATCTACTGAACTACTCATATTGCCCACCATTCTTAAAATTAGTGACTTTAGAAGATTGTTTTTTTCCTCCAAAGACAAATTAACTCAAGACAATATCCCTGTTATGATGTTTTTTCGTTTTCTGTTATTCCAGGATGGGTTTATTAAGTTCGGGTGTAAGGATACACATGCTGGTCATAATGCCCACTTTTCCTTATTACCTCTTCAAAACCAATCTCCGGCTAATTCCACCCAAATCATTCTTTAATTCGCACATGTTCATAACACAGATGTGCAGCTTCTTGCTGTTCCAGACTTTAAATTGACTTTTGGAAGAAATCATACCTGAATAATTTAATCGGTTGTGCATTCTTGTAGAAGTTTCCTGTGTTTCTAAACTCTCATATTACCAGTTTGACTGATGGTTTTGCTCCAACTGTAATAACAGTGAGCACTCCACACCGCTGTATTTTAAGACTGCACAGTGCATGTATAGTAGTTTTGTAATATTACTTGAATATGTTGTCTGATTTTATGCCACAATCTCCTGCACTGTTTCCCTTAGGCCTTGGAAAGTGAATATGTGAGTGCCCACCTCCACCTGTGGATCGACCTGATCTTCGGGTACCGGCAGGAAGGCCCTGCTGCTGTAGAGAGTGTGAACACCTTCCACCCTTACTTCTATGCTAAGAGGGGCTGGAAGGATGCAAAGGACCCTCTTATCAAGAGCACAATCTTAGGATACGTCAGCAACTTTGGCCAGGTTCCCAAACAGGTAAAAAGTAAAAGCTTAGTTTCACAAGTGCAGAAAGTACATTACTTTCTGCATGTAGGAGTTCCTGCATCATATTGTTTTTGGAACTATTCTGTATTTTTGAATGATTTATGTCCTTTCCATAGCTATTCACAAAGCCACATCCACCTCGCATTGGCACTAAGAAAGAAGGATCATCACCACCACATCCAACTCCATTTTTCTTCAAACTGGATCAACTGAAGACCACCAAGCAGCC